CCCCAAAACCCCAAAACCCCAAAACCCCTTAATGATCAATTAAACATTAATTTGAGATCTTGTAAAAAAATTAACATATTAAGAATTTTAATATAAATGAAGAAAGTAGCAGGATTATTTTAGAATACGCAGGCAAGTAAAAGCCGGCAGTAGCTATCTACAACGCCAACAGGGACGACTCCTACCAGTGTTAACCAAAATATGCTGAACCCCTCTTAATCTTAGATTCACAATTAATCTATGGAAACAATTAGAAAGCCTTAATTCACTTAATTGACTAAAAGCCCTCAAAATATTCTAAATACTCCGATATTGTCGCATGAATTAAATAGCAAATTTGATACAAGTATCGACTATTAATCATCTTAAAACCTCCAGCAAATCTCCTCAAGCTTTTTGAAAAAGTAAATGAAAGGAGCTAGCTCTAATCAGCAATAAATATTCAATTAGACTTTGCAGAAACAACAGTAGCAGCAATAATAACTGCAGCAATAATTTTAGAAAAATTAGCAGAATTTTTAATAAAACGATTTCCTTAATAATTCCTGATTGAACATCAGTTCAATCGATCTTAATGAAAGTGGATTTATCTAAAATAAAAATAGAATCAACATTAAGCCTTCTTTTAATACAAATCGGTCAATCACTCCGATTCTTTAACATTCTTCAAATTTTAAAATGTAAGGTTTCAATCCAAACAACTAAACGCCATCTTAGAATAATTCCACGACTCCTTAGAATAAGTTAGATACTTAGTTTAATGAGAATAGTTATTCATAATCTAGTATCTTAAAAAGCTCCACTACTAAAAATGTAGTGAAAAGAGGGCAGCCCACAATAAATATTGAGACAGCTGAGGAATAAGAAAGTCAGTACTGTCTTGAATAGCTGATATCACCAAATTTTTAACCTTAGTCTACAGTGTCCATGTAAAAAAGATTAATGTAGCAGTAATAACTGTAACACTCATAAAATAGCTAAAATTAGTAATCTACAAGCAAGTTTTAAAATAGTCAAAATATTAACTTCTTTAGTAATAAACAGCAAGTTAGTAATCCAGCTAATTAGTTCTCAAGTTTATTTAGGAAAAACAGTACCAGATCTAATGGAGTCGATTCACCATAATGCTAAGACAGTGTATCTCATAGTATTGATAAAGGGAATAAGAAGAGAAATGTTAGGAAAATCATGAACGATAGTCTTAATATGATCAACAAATCAAGGAATAAGTATCTAAATAAAAGTTTCTAGTAAAATAATACCTCTTCATCAGCCACTAGGCTTGGATAGGTCTCAATTGGAGGAGATACTAATCTGGGCAATTCTATTAATTAGCATATGAGCTTAAGAAAAATAGCATAAAATAGATAAGGAGCAGAAACATCCATGAAGAAGTTAAACTCAACTGCTTCATATGATATTTTAGGGATTTAAAGGGATACTGATCAATTCGACTAATCCTATGGTCATTTAGCACCAGAAATATTCAACAGAAATGGAGCCAAATCTGGAATGAGAAGCCCGCACAGTTTTGCCAAAAATTGGACAAACTAAAATACCAACACTTTAAATTCTAATGTACTTGTATAAAGCTCAATAAGTGGAGGGTCTAATTCTATTAACATAGTTCAAAGCCAGATTTCCAATAAAAATGTAGAGTCTAATCAAAAGCTCAGCTCTGAAAGGGACTAACTAGAAGTCAGAAATTCTAGCAACATTAGTTCCTAATATACAGGTGGAAATAAAAACAATAACAATATGCAGACAACTTAGAAAAAACATACCTTTAAATTTAACTTCAAATCTTCAGCTGGGTAATCGTCAGGAATGATAAACACTCCACTGGCAAGATCCTTTTACTAACAAACTAACAATAATGGGGGAATGGATTATTCAAAAGATCAAATAAATTCTAACTCTGATATTTTCTTAAATGAGAGTTCATATATTAATAAGCCAGATTACCCAATATAGACTGAGGTTTCAAGCAGGGTCTCCCCTCTCTCTTAAATGCCTAAAAAGCAACTTATTTTCAATACAAAGGGGCAAGTTTAATAAATGAATACGAATTAAAATGATAATAATCATGGAGAGCGGGTATCTACTTAGTAAAGTACACAAATATCAAGCATTAAGTTTAGTTCTTAATAGGAACAAATATAGTCTAGAATGAATAATAAAAGCTAATTGTTGAAATAATATTCAAGTTAAAAAGGAGTACAATAATAATCTCATAATCCAGAGATCATTTCAAACTAATAACAGTAGCTTATAGGCATTTAAACAGGACATAATCAGCCCTTTAATAGTAACAAAGAGAATAGTTCGCCGATGGATAGAAACAAATAAATGGTGAGGCCATTTGAATATACCACTAATCAAGATGAACAATTATAAAATAGACATGTATAGAAAAACCCGATGCTATAAAATTTAGATTCAAGTGATTTCATAGACCATAATCAATTCTATTAACAATAGGCTTAGCATTCTACTACATCACTACACTCATAATCAATGTCTCAAGAAGTGAATTCCAAGATGGTAAGACTTACTAAGAATCTTTTTCGAGTGCCTAAAATTTCAAAGATGCAAATGAATATGTATAACCCAAACAATCAATCACAATAATAATTCTTATCAATGGGTGAGAATTCAGATTTCTCGCAAGAACCCACGATTAAGAGATCATTAACTCCTTCTAGTGGATATTATTCAATTAGTCAGCTGAATGTAAATCAAAGTGGCAAAACAGAAAAATATCAGTAAAAGAGAAAGCAAACAAATCATAACTTTCATTAGTTATTCATGATTGATTAATAATTCCAAAATGACTCTGTGTTACAAATTTCAAATGGAAAGCATTAGCAACCTTCTAGTGGTGAGGATATAAGTTTTAACATTGACTGTAGCTAAGCTTTTCAATTGAATAATTAAACTTTAGAAAGACCGGTAACAGTGGGTGAGATAAGCAGTGCTTTGAAAATGAGAGATCTTCTAGGTGATTCAATAGACAATATATAAGTGTAAACAATACCAAAGGATACGAAAAAAATGATAACATAATCAACAACAATAGGATCTAGAAAGTTAAAAACGATTAACAATGCTCAAGGACACATAAATGTTGATAGTTTGGCATCTAATAAGATAGAAGATTCTATGTAGGATTCTGAAAATTTGGAAACATCCCGATTCAGTTCGACTCTTGAATCATAAATTTAGTAAAATACCTTAATATTGACAAATCAAAGCAACTAAAATAACACAATCCAATCTTAAGATTATTCATAATCTTAAAGATTTTTGAAAGTAGCCCCAAATGCACACCAAATTAAGACAGCTGTTATGAATTAAGTTAATCATCGAAATAATCAGAACTGTAATATACCATAATCTAATTAGACTGTTATTAATAAACAGTATTTCAGCAAACTAAAAAGTGATAGGAAAAATCATGGAGGAGATTAAGCTCGAAGTTACTTATTATAACTTAAACAAGAAATAGAGAATAGGAGAGATTAGTAAATCATGAGAAATGAATAACTATTTTAAGATCAACAGCAGCTTGCATAAAACCTTAGCTCCATTTTGCATCAAAGTTCTTTGAATAACTCAAGTATGATAAACTAAAATTAAATCTCAAATAATAACATCTTTATTATCAGTTCAAGTAACCCATCTAGATAGGTTTCATCTTAAAAGAAGAAAAGAACAGGTGAAAAATAACAATTTATTCGATAAATTCATCCATAAAACCTTTAAAAAAGGGATTTGAGTGCAGATAATTTAGCATTCAAAAGAAATGATCATGAATAATGTGAAGAATCTTGCTGTTTATCTTGTTCTTGTTTTAACACTTCAAGATTAGATTGCGACTAAAATGATAGAGAATAGTCTGAATCATAAGAATCATCTTCATTTATAGAATCATCTTAGCAAGAAGAGTGCAAGGATTGCCTAGATTCTAAATGCTAATCTCGATTATGCTGTAATCATAATGAAAGTGAAAGATAATCAAAACTCTCTAAAAAGTAAAGGCATAATGACGGTAATTGCTAAAATAAAATGATAAAATAGGATTAAGATGGAAGAATAAAAATTAAATATAAAGATTAGGCATCTAACTAAGTTTATACTATTTAAGCTCCCAATAATGTCTTGTTTAATGATAATCTTAATTTGGCTGAGGAAAATATGTAAAGAGGTAGGTTGCCAAGAATGATTCAGAGAGTAAATGATCAAGATTAATCATAGAATTTAATACCCGTTGTAAAACGAAACCTTACTCCAGATGATCATTTAAGGAAAGAATAGGCTGAAAGCTATATTTTAGTTGATTAAAAAGGGAAGCCAAAAAAGATATATATCCAAAGGAATGTTCCTATCAAAGTTCATAGTCCTAATAGTAGGGATATTAACAAGAACTAATCTAAGACATTGGATTATGATAACTAAAGCTAGGATAGTTTTAATAATTAACAATTTTTGACAATTCAGTAGCCGACCAAGACAAAAACAAACTAGGTTATTAAATCGCAAAGAAAGAAGTTTATGAATGAGGCTGATGGTGACTCATCTCTGATATGCTGCTTGAGTACCAAGAGTCAGAAAGATTATAAATATTAGAACGGGAATAATTAGAGGTCTGGAAATGGAGGTGGTGGATGCATTTTGCAATGACTTACTATTTTATTTCTAGATTCTCTAACCTCTATGTAAAGCTTGCGATGTAAGTTAAATAGTTATTCTCGCTAACACCTCTAATTAAAATGTGATATCTTTAAATTTTCTAAAATTCTTTCACAAACTGCTATAAATATATTCCTTTAGGGGTTTTGGGGTTTTGGGGTTTTGGGG